ATCCCCTTCTTGTGTATTTGACCTTTCTATGATCTCCTTATAATAACTCTCAATTCTATGATCTCCTTATAATAACTCTCAATTTTGGCCCACCTGAATAGTACAAGGTAATCTTTTAAACAGACCCTTGACTATATATGCAAAGTCTTCTTTTTGCTATATAAGGTAACATTCACTGATTCTAAATACTAGGATGTGGGTATCTTTGTGGAACCCTTGCTCAACCTAATATAGATGCCAAGGCAATTCAATGACAAAGACTAAATATCTAACAAATAGTGCTTAAACAAGTGGATGTCCACATGCAAAGAATGAATCTCTACCACTTCCTTACATCATATAAAGAAATTATTTAAAATAAATCAAAGATTAAAATGTAAGAGCTAAAACTATAAAACTCATAGAAGAAAACATTGGTATAAATCTTTATGATCTTGGGTTAGGTGATGGACACCTAAATCTTAAGTAATTAAAGAGAAAACAGATAAATTGGATGTCATCAATATTAAAAAAAACTTTATACTTCAAAGGAACACCATCAATAAAGTAGGAAAACAACCCAAAGAATCAGAGAAAATATTAACAAATCATATATCTGACAAGGGTCTAGAATGGGGATAAACAAATAACTCTTTTTTTAATTTTAATATTTATTTTTTATTTTAAAATTGTGGGATACAGTTAAGGGTTAGGTATACAAATACATTTTGTTCAGGCACCCTTGTTGATAAGGGGTGTCTGCCTATCCCCAGACAGATATTGACTACCGTTAATCCCACCTCCCTTCCCCTCCCTCCCCCACCCCCATAGTTTCCCACCACCGTCAATCCTTTTCTTATAGTATTACAGTAGTTGTTCAAGGTCCACTTATGAGTGAGAGCATGTGATGCTCAGATCTTTGTTTCTGTGAGAGATCACTCAGTATTATAAACTCTAATTCCATCCAGGTCACTGTAAAATTCATGATTTTGTTCTTTTTTATGGCTGCATAATGTTTCATTGTGTATATATACCACATTTTTTTAATCCAATCCTCTTTTGGTGGACAGCATGGTTGGTTCCAGGATCTTGCTATTGTGAACAATGCTGTGATAAACATACGTGTGCAGGTGTCTTTTTCATAAAGTGATTTGAGTTCTTCAGGGTATATTCCCAGTAGGGGGATTGTGGGGTCATATGGAAAATTGATTTTTAGAGCTTTTAGGAATCGCCACACTGATTTCCACAGAGGCTGTACTAGTTTACACTCCTACCAACAGTGTAGAAGTATTCCACAAAGAACTCTTACAACTGATCAGTGCTAAAGATTAATCATTAGGGAGATACAAATGAAAATTCTCTGTCTTACCTAGTAAAGTATCAGTAAATGTCTACTGAATTAATACTTGGAAAAAAAGGTAAATGCAAGAAATCTCACTCTAGCTGTTAAAAATATGTATAATCAGCCGGGCTCGGTGGCTCAGCCTGTAATCCCACGCCTTGGGAGGCTGAGGTGAGTGGATTGCCTGAGCCCGCGGGTTTGAGACCCACCTGGGCAGTGAGACCTCATCTCTACAATAAATCAAAAAATCAGCCGGGCGTGGTAGCGCATGCCTGTAATTCCAGCTACTCGGAAGGCTGAGGCGGAAGGATCGCCGGAGCCCAGCAGGTCGAGGCTGCGGTGGCCGGGAGCAGCCACTGCACTCCAGTCTGGGCGACAGAGTGAGACTCCAACTCAAAAAAAAAAAAAAAAAATATGTATAATCTATATTTGCTAACAGATGACATTTATCTTTAATGAGCAGTCATTTTTATGATATTCATACTTTTCTTTCTATTCTTCATCAATACCTTATACTCTACCTTGTAATAATAAGTGGTTAAATAGTTAACAGCTTGACTTGAATTGTCTTTCAGCATAGGTCATTTTACATTTCACAGCTATAACATTAAAGACTTCATTTTTAGGAGGAATCGTTTCATACTCAAGAAAAAAATGTCATAAATTGACATGAATATGGAATTGTGAATACCTCCTTATATCTTTATGAGAAACACTAGAGATATTTTTGGAATGACAGGTTGTTTTGCTAACTTAGCTATTACTGATTGGGCATCTCTTGTTCTCAGCAATGTTATCAGGGACTATGGAGGTTATGAAACATAAACTTCAAGGCAAGTGTCCGTGTCTTTCAGTCACTTCTCCCAAATTTTGAGGGTGTGGTGTTAGTAAATATTCAAGGACTAATCTATGTGGGAATGCAGGAGTATTTTTGATGAAGTAAATGAAGCAATTGAAATCAATGGCCATATAGTTTACTCCCAGCTCCAAAATTTCGACTCCATGTCTCAATGCAAATCTTACTCAAAACAAACTTTACTTATTACAGTGAACTCTCTCAAAGTTCCTAACACTCACTTACCACTGCTCCACTTCTTTTGAAAAATGGTAAGTATTCATGTCAGGTTACATAGAGGAAAACCAGACCCCAAGAGTCCTGTAAGTGAGTTGCCAGAAAATCAGTGGTGGAACCTGAAATAAAACCTCTTTCTCACAGCTTCGTTTATACTGCCCTGCTCATAGGACCACAGATAATCTTTCACACAGTATAAAGGATCACTTCACCCATCGCTGAAATGAAGCCACCCCCGAAGAGGACCACATGATCAATTTAATAGAACCCAACCAAGGAAGCCAATAATGAAGGACAGGAATCCAATACAAGTAAAGTACTTGATGCTGCCCATCTCCTAAATTGCTCTACAGATGCCATTTCATCACTCTAAAGGAGTGTATTTCCTGCTAAGGAGGAGTATTTTAACAGACCTCCACAAGTAAGAAGCCAGCTCAGATCTAGAACCATATACTCTATACTTCCTAGAGCTCAGTCAGTATGCATTATTATAAGCCAATCATGAGTCCAGCACATGCCAGATGACACATGTCAGCAACACAAGAGGTGTAGAAGGCATGGAGATCAGGTTGTCACTGTGAACATCGCCCCTTGTGCCAGCAAGGTCAGTCTTTAGTTATACATGGTGAGCGCAGACCTTGAATATTACCAGTCATTAGAAGAAAATAATGTCAATCCTTTTAGAAGCTTATGTTTTTCTTAATCTGAGACATCCTTAATTGGGGAAGAGAAGTGGGGTAATATCATCTGGTTACTATTCTATATTCAGAGAAAACAGAAATGGATTCAGAAATGTGGGAATTTTGAATTCTTATAAATGTAAGAAATATTAAAAAATGGTGAATTCATTTGTACTTTTGCTTTTCAGAACCACTCAAATCTAGGGACTAGATTACAGCTACAAGATATGTATATTACTGATGCATAATGCTAAAATTCTTGTAAAAATTAATGACAAAAAGGGCAAAAGATTTAGCTTTAGGTGATACCAACATCATGATTGTGTCTAGGTATGCATATTCAGAGAATATTTCTGAACTCATTCATTTAGTATTTATGCCAATATATACCTATTGAACACAGAGCATAAACCAGGGACAATGTTGTACAAGGTTTTTTATTATTTCCTTCATTTTTTTTTCCTTTTGTAAGATTGAGATTTTTTTTTTCCAGAAAATATGGTTTCCTGGAACTCTTAGTTATCACTATATATCCAGGAAAGGCTGTTGTTGATTGAACACACATGTATTTATATTTTCACTTATTATCAAAGCCAAGTTTGTAGACATGTGCCTACTTAGGTAAATGGGTTCATTCATTATTCTGTAACACATTTTAAGGTCCTCATTACTTATGTTGCATGTAGTACCATCTGTTCTTGTTAGAAGTGACCTCTATCTTATCATCAGCAATCTTTCCTTTGGCTAACCAAATAAGGTTTACTAAAATGGAGGCCAGATACAGGTTGACCTTAAACTATCACTTTTTGTCAGGAAACATCTTCTGTTGTTATTTTGTGAAGAGCAAAAAAGGTCTGTATCAGTTTTTTGTTTTGTTTTGTTTTGTTTTTTTAGCATCATGGGGGTTTTATTTATTTGGAAGTGAATTTCAAACTATCAATACAAATGCCAAGATACTACACAAAACATCCACAGGAACTTTTTCATCTTTTTTTGAATTGTACACAAACATTTCCTACATAATCCAACATACAACAGAAAAATGGTACATCTTTTTCTTTCAATTTGCATACAATGGAAAAACAAGAATATACATATATTTTACAAAGTTTAACTAATAGACACTAGCAAATTGACAGTTTAAGTCTATAGGTGAGAAATTATCTAGTAAAAAATAATCAGAATTTATTCATCATCAGTCACTTCCATAACCAAGTGTTATTCTGATTAGTAAAACTTACTGCCAATCAGGCTTCTGGTATATGCTAATACCATTACTCAATCGTAGTACTGCTCCCCACCTTAGTTCTTCACAACTACTAACATAGAAAATTGGTGAAAAGTAGGGGCAAGCATTTGCAAAAACAAACAAAAAATCCCCAGCTTATTATAAGCATGAATATGTATGATGGAATTTCTTCCCAGCAATAGACTTGCAAACCATCAAGAAATTACCAGAACTAAATTTGCCAAGTTATTTTGCCTATGTCCAAAAGATGCAATTATACATCTACAGAAACTGAAAATCAAACTTAGTGTTTAGTTTGGGGGTTGATTGGGAAA